CGGCAGTTTATATTTCTAATTTATACTGTTTTTAACTTATATTAATAAAATTTTTATTTTAAATTTATATTTTTCACAGGAACAAATTTGCTTTAATATGGTGGTGATATTAAGTAAGAATGAAACTCTTGTGCACCTTTTTTATATTCACCTAAATTATCAACATCGCCTTTAGAACTGAAAGTTGTAATTCGTCAAAAACTTCTGCATCTTTATTACAGTCAATATATTCCTTTTCAATTAATACATCCAGAGATTTTTGAACGTTTTCCCATGCGGAACTTTTTTAAATCAGCCCAAAAAAATATCTCCATTTATTTCGTAAGAAAGCAAGTCCACTGCTCCAGATATTTACGGTTTGTTTCAAAAAATTCTGTAGCCGCCCTTTTCACCAATTTCTCATCTATGTCAGTAACATTATCTTTCGATTTCACTTTTAATTGACGGACCGTAAATGAAAGAAACTGATTGGTCTGTTTCTGAGTCAAATTGTATTTTAGTTGATTGATTTTTTTTGCAGCTTCAATACCCGAGCCGATACAGTCTGAACTTCAAGTTTCAAAACAGCTTGATGAAAACTTGCTGACTTAGCGTGTAAAAAATAAAGCCATGATTCGGATGTGGGATCTTCAAAAAAGTATTTTAGTAACAAAAACACAAATTTTCACGTGGTTTCAGAAAACGGGACAATTTTGCGTCCCAGAGTTCATTTCGGGGACACCGGGACTCGTAACTATAAAAAGGGACAGTCCCGTTCAAAACGGGACGTCTGGTCACGTTACTCATAGGGGAGATATTTGCCATAGTTGCCACGCTTGGCGAGCGGGTTGGCAAACGCAAAGTCGTTATCAGGAAGATTCTGCTGCTCATCACCTGTATCCATTTCCCTCTGTCGCCTTCACAACACCCACGGGATGAAATCAGGTAGTGGATATTTATAATTAACACATACATCCACTACCTACATATAAGCAATAAGCATATCTTCTTATGTATATACTTGTAGTACCCACTGAGCAAATTTCTGGCACTTGTAATTGAAAAATTATGTTCCGAATGCAAAATAACTATACACAAAAACGGTGAGGGTTTTCAATTTCATACAATATTAATTAAAACACACTCTTCTGAAGCAGTCACATTCTATACATTAAGTCTGCGGAATGCGGGGCCGGTGAACAATCAATGCCAACCCATGACTCAATCTCCAAAAAATGTGGAACGCTTCACGATTTTGCGTGTCATCCTTGCGCAGGGGCCATGCTAATCTTCTCTGTATCGTTCCAATTTTAGTATATGTACTGCCGAAGCAAGTACAATTATGATAAGCAGACTTGTCATATATATCCTAAACACTTAAATATACTTCAATAGCGTGATGTAAGAATAATTTCAATTAGATAATTTAATTTTCCGAAAATTGATAACATTGATACAAAAACTTAATAATTAAGTGTTTTTACTTAAATTTTATAAAAAAAAAATCATTTCAATGCTTTTAATAATTTTAATTTCTAAATAAATATTAAATTAATATGTTTCATATGCGTAAAGTGACATCTATGATATAAGCTTCGAAAAAACTTTCGAATTTATTTATTTGAGAATTTTTATTGAATTCTTTAATAAATTGAAATGAACTTTTTCACGACAAACAACAATAGTAAGTATTTATAAACAACCGAAATGTCTTATTTATAATTAATAACCAATCAAATAATTAAAACAGTAGAGTGCCATCTGGCGTGGTTTAGTAACACCGGCTTACGTTTGTAGAGTTGTAGTTGTACGATACTTAAAAGTTTTAAAGTTTTTTCATAGATGTCGCTAGTTGGCGAAAAATTTAATTTTTTTTGAGAATTTATTATATTTCACAACTTTGGTACTTATTACATAAGCATATATATGTATATATTTATATATCTTGCATGTATATCTATATAATAATATATATATATGTATAATTACGTTTATAACATGTAATGCAATACGTAATACGTATGGCTGCTTATTCATATTTTAAGACAGATGCACTTTGCACTCTGCTTAGCCTGGAGGTAGATTTTTTTTTTGCGCCCGAAGCAAATATGGGCAACCCTCCGGAAAGCGGGGGAGGGAGGTTGGGAATGCTCATAGCATACCACGCAGCCGGCTGCGTGGTTATGTGGTGACTTTTACCCACTAAACCCAACCTTTTAGGAATTGGCTTAACGATCTGACTAGAGATCTCTAAGCCGTATACGAACGCGACCCTCCTTGGCAGAAAGGAGGGCGCAGCAGAAAGGAGGGCGCATGGAGGTAGACTGGCAGAGAATTCCTTGTTGCATTAAGTCCGCCTTTTTGTACTCGGTGTGCAAATAAAGCATAAATAAATAAATGAATATATATTTCATGTACTTAATAATGAACATTTGAAAGAGGTTTCGGAAGTAAAATTTTTAGGTCTACATGTTGATCACCATTGCAACTGGAAGTCGCATGTAAAAAATGTCTGCACCAAATTATATTTTGTATATGCACTGCGTAGGTTACAACTTACAATGCGTTGCTGGGACAGGAGCTCCGCTTTCTGCGTATTAGTATTACGGATACATTGAATCTGTGTTGAGGTATGGTCTGTTGGTATGGGGAAACTCGACTGACATAAACAAGGCATTTATCAGTCAAAAGAATTGTATACGAGCTCTATGTAATGTTAGGCCTCTGGAATCATGTATAAGGTCTACATGATTCCAGAGGCCGAACATTACATAGAGCATATTTAAAAAAATAATTTCTTAAGATTGTGAAACTGCTGTCAAATTATTGAATGAAGATCTCAAACGTATCTTGTTATGGCAAAAGCAAAATTCTCCTGTGCTAAATCCACAAAAATCAAAATTTTCAATTCTGGGAACAAATAAAAATATTAAAAATATATCAATGCTTCAGCCCTTAGTTATAATTGATAATAAACCTATACAGCAAGTCTCTGAGGCAAGAAATTTAGGTGTATTATTTGATTCTAGTTTGCGATTTGAAAGTCATGTAGGGACATTTAGCTGGTTACGCGACCAGGGTCAGTTAGCGACCATTAACGGGACCTACGGCACTAATACGAAATAAATAAGAATTTGATCCTTGTTTTCCAAAGGTAATTCACTAAATACAGAGAGGGATAGATGTATGATTTTTACCTATATTAGTTGGCAGCTTTGTGTAACCAGACAGTTAATAAATCTTAAGTTCATTCCGCCACTCGCGCTGTCGGCGCGCGCACGGTTCCATAACAACGGAAAAAATAGTGAGCACGTGTTGCGTTCGAGGTACGTAGATTGTTTTCTATTTATTTGTGGCAAATTTTTAATGTTATATTTACTAGATATATATGTATTTAACGTAATCTGTACATTTGTTTTATGTAATATAACCAAATCTTGTAAAAAATTGTGTGGTCGCTAACTAAAATGAAAATAATCTAATAATTTTAGTTTGCGGCCAGGTGGTCGCCAATTGACATTTAGAGTGAAAAACAATTTTTTATATTTTAATAGCCTACAAACCTAGTCCGGGATTTTATGGCTTTCTATTATGTTTGTTTATTTCTTGTTACATGTATTTTAGTTTACGACTACCCAATTGTATTATAAATTGTGTAATTGACGATCTCAAAATGTATGGGGATTTTAAGTGGTCGCCAACTAAAAGTGGCAAATTAACGTGTGGTTTTACGACCACTTGCATTTACCACTATATTTTTTTGTAGATATAGATGTTTAATATTTAATATTTTTATTACAGATGTCCTCTAAAAATCGTAATAGAATAAAAACTCCGGCTTATTCACAAACAGACCTGGAAAGTGCCTTAAAAGATATAAGAGAAAGAGGACACGGTATTAGAGAAACATGTAAAAAATATAACATCCCTAGATCTACAGTACAAGACAGACTAAGTGGCAAAAGGACTGATATACTAAAAAACCCAGGACCCGAACCGATTTTAGGGATATCCATGGAGAAAGAAGTCGTACAATGGATTATCAAAATTGCTAAATGTGGTTTTCCTGTCAAAAAACAGGAACTACTAGACACTGTACAAAAAAATTCTAAAAGACTATCAGAGACCTAATCCATTTAAAGATGATCGTCCTGGTCAGACCTGGTATTCAGGCTTTCTTAAAAGAAACCCAGAAATCTCAGTCCGGTCAGCAGAAAGCATAAACAAAGCTCGTGCACGCGTTACTGAAGAGCATATAAGGCAGTGGTTTCGAGAACTTGGAACATTTTTATCCGAATCAGGACAGTCAGATATTCTCACACAGCCTGATCGAATATTCAATGCTGATGAGAGTGGTTTTTAATTATGCCCCAAAACCGGAAAAGTTCTTGGACCGAAAGGCTTTCGAAACTTGTACCAAGTAAATTCAGGGAACGAAAAGGATAATTTGACCGTTTTAATTAATTTTAATGCTAAGGGACAAATGTGTCCACCGGTAGTAGTTTTCCCATATTTACGTCCACCAAAAGCGGTAACTGATAGTATGCCCCCGGAATGGATTTTGGGTAGAAGCGAATCCGGTTGGATGCGAAGCGAAATATTCTTTGAATATATAGTTAACGATTTTAATACTTGGGTTGAAAATAACAAAATACAAAAGCCCATTTTACTTCTTGTTGATGGCCATAAATCGCATATGCCGTTGGTGTTAAGTTCTATGTGTGAACAGTATAGGAATAATATTATATGCTCTGCCACCAAACACCACGCACATATTACAACCTGCTGATGTCAGTGTGTTTGCCCCATTGAAAGTAAATTGGAGGAAAGAAGTAAGAAAGTTTTTATCCAAACCTGACAATTTGAATGCTTCAGTAACAAAAACTAATTTTTGTCAATTGTTTAAAAACATTATTGAGGACTCGCAGATGGATATATGTATAAAAAATGGGTTTAGAAAATGTGGCTTGTTTCCTTTTGACCCCAATGCAGTGGATTACACGAAGTGTGTACAAAGTACTATGGAACGACTCAATAATCCGAGAAATTGTGAGCAAACGGGTATTACAAATCAAGATCTGGTTTCCACGCGAAAGGTGATACGGCATTTAGGACCAGTTCTCCGTAAGAAAAATGTAGATATCAAGTTTATTTTGAGAGAAGTGAAGAAGTTAAGAAAGACAGAGCCCAGACAGTCGGAAGTTTTGTATGAAACTGGATCTGAGGACCGATCTAATTCGACAGTTCGTTTATCAACATCTTCACTGATAGACAGTGAAACAAATTTGAGTAAGGCCAATCCTGCGACCATTACCTCTATGCCACATACTGTTAATCCAGTTAACGATAGCGATCCAGCATCAGTTATCGATGGGTCAGGTTTGAACAACACGCATTACGCGGATGAACAGTTGTTGCCTCCGCCTATTAAAGAAAATATTTTATTACATGCAAATACTTCCAAAGACATTGCGATAGAGGGATGCGATAAATACAATGTTTCTGAATCTTTATTAACTAATTTGGAATTGAAAGACCAAGAAACCATTAACAACCAAATAATTTCTAGGCAAGATACAACAGAAAATATAAATATAGAAACCAGTCTCACGAGCTTTCATTTATCTGGCAGTTATCTTGATCAAGGTACTCTAGTATCCTTAGATGATATCGTAATAATACCTCTACAATCAAGTACGCCAACAAGAATAGATTTTCAAGGTATCACGTCGCCAGCAGTAGTTACATTACCTCATGTAAAAAACAAGGAATCGTTGACCGAATCTGGAAAACCTTACTCTGAAACAGAAGTTTTGTTCAAAACACCAATGACAATAGAAGAAAATCAATTGTTAGCTTCTCAGTGTACAATACTAGCAGATCAGACTATGACTGAACCTATTTTATCAACTGCAATATCAAATTCAGGCTTTTCTACTAACGTTATATCGGAAAATAACTATTCCATTTTAGGCAACACTAGCAGACATCAACCAACGTCTATGGAGTCACTTGATAATGTAATAGTCATACCTTCGGAATCAACTGCACTCAGCACTAATGCTTTTAGTAAGCATTTATTTGTGCCTGAACCCTTGGTAAAATCAAACAAAAATATTGCTAAGCCACGAGTTCCTGCTGCAATATCATCTTTGGCTTGGAGGAAACATTACGAGGAAAAAGAAAAAAATAAACATGAGAAAAGAGAGTCCATACAACGTAAAAAAGAAGCATCTAAAAGAAAGAAGGATGAAAGAGGCGAAGTTAAGAGAAGAAAGACTGTGAAACGAACGAAGACTGATAAATTTAATATTTTAGGAACAGAGAATAAAGAAAATAATATCACAAAACAAAGATGTGCTCAATGCGAAATGATTTTAAATAGTGACACAGAGGAAGACGAAGACAAAAACGTTGGCTGTGATTTCTGTACCAAATGGTTCCATTTAAAATGTACAGACTTCATCGGACTAAGTTATGATGAAGTTAAAGATAAGGCATTTAAATGCAATTCTTGTATTATAGAAGAAGATTAGATTAGATATTATAGAAAAACTTGATCGTAGTCAGGACTTCGTTACATATTTTTTATAGTTTTCAGTACTTAAGTAAATGATGAGTGTGTATTGGAAAATAATTGCTGTTTACATTTATATTGTTAATTTGATATTTTTGAAATTGTTGTTTAGATTTATATTGTTCATATGATACTTGTATACTTGTTTAAGACATGTTGTGCTGTGATTGCAGTTTAAGTAGGTATAGTTTAAATAATGTGTAGCTTTGATCTCATGAAAATATGACTGTTATATAATTATTAAATGTATGAATAATAAAGCGTTAATATTTACATTGAATAAAAAAACATTAAAATGCATGCATTACATTTTATTTTTTATTTATTAAATGTAGTTTGGCATAGTAGATCAAGTGGTCGCCAATTAGATAAGGCGTTGGTCGTAAACTGACAAAGGTGGTCGCTAACTAGCATTTCGTATAGTTTTTCATTATTTTTTAATTTAAAATGTTCTCACAACTGTATTCTCATTTTTTTAATTTTTAAATATAACTTGACAATATCTAGGACCCTGTCAAATAATTCCAATAACTGTGCTATGGATATGTGGTACTTAAATATTGACGTAAAGTTGAGTACTCCGCTAATCGGTCGCCAACTGACTAAACGACCCTACTTGAGGGAGTGCGCAGTTGCTTTTACCGTTTGAAGTTGTTGTATAAAGTTCGGCAATGCCTCAGTGAAAATATGCGGATAAGATTGTGTGAGTCATTAATACTGTCTAATTTAAATTATGCAGATGCAGCCTATGGAGCACGACTGTTGAGAAGGTCAGAAGAAGCTTATACAGCGGGTGCGAAATGCGTGTACTCGGTTTTGTTTCACTGTCCCGCCTCGAAGTCTTATTTGAACAATGCTAATCTGTTAAAAATGAGTGCCCGGAGAAAATTACACCTTGCTACTATACTATTCTCAACAATAACAAAACAGTGACCAGTATACCTGTTTCAAAAGCTGAAGTGTCCCCGAGACCAAAATAAGTATATAATACAAGAGCTTCTGTTCATTCCCTTGTAACAACTCAATACCGCACAGCTGCGTTTCGAGGTAGTTTCAAATTTGTAGCAACCCACTGTTGGAGTGATCTACCACCACCTATTCGTTCCCTAAAATCACTGAATAGTTTTAAAAACAAACTAAAGTTCTATTGCTTAGTGCAACAAGTTCAAAATACCATTGAGTTATACAACACTAGAGGAGCAAACCACATTACCGCGCGTCGAAAAAAGTGTAACCACTATCCAAACGCGACGACGTAGCTTTGAAACTAATAACAATTTTAAGTAAACATATATCTATCTCACTTACACAAGTTGCGGAAACAATATGGTCGCTAAGATTAGATAAAGATAGACACACAAACATGCAATGGCGGGTTGGTGTGGCTTACTATATGAAATTTTACCTAAAATACGTAATAAAAATGAGTTTTTTTTTAAAGCTGCACATAATTTTTTTATATTAAAAATTATATTTTATTTTAAAGTCTTTTACGTCCCCTTAGAGAAAAAAGGATACAAAGCTTATCAGATGAATAGAAGTAAACATAATGATGAAATAAAACATATTTTTATGGTACTAATAAATCAAACAATATAAAATAGGTAATAAAATATAATTAATATAACATTTATATGAAATTATAAATAATATAAAATTATTAATATAAAATTATTAATATAAAATAGGTAATAAAATATATTTAATAGATAATTTATGAATTAAGTAAAATAAGAATAATTAATTATTTTGTATGAAAGTTAAAACGTAGTTTTTATTATAATTTCTAAAATATTTAAAATCAGAGGTAACAAATTAACTTAATCCATTAATTATATAGTCTCCCATTAATGTAGGATAATCACAAATGCGGAAAAGTGGCAACATTGACCCTAAATGGCAATATTCTATAATTTTATTTAATTATTTGAGGTTTTTTACGTTTATATGAAAACAAGAATTAAAAATTATGTGTTGAAAGTGATTCCGCTTGATTTATTACATTTTTGTGACCTTGAATAGCGTTCTTTCACTACGCATTTACCCATTTTTGTCGCGGCTCAACTCAGTCGGCGTCACATTGAACAATGAACTCACGTTAGCTAGGCATATGGCTGTGGCCATATGCGCAGTGACAACGCTTTGGCGCGGTTATTACTGATCTAGTGTTGTATAAATCAATGCAAAATACGTAATACAATTATGTTTAGAACGCAAAATAGTAATAATATTTATATTGTTTTACACTTTTTTTATTATTTACTATGTATATGAATTATTATGGTGTTATTTCTGTTACATATTTGATGAATTATCATTTATTATTTATTTATTTTTAATCTTACTTTTGATTTTCTAAAAAAAAATCTAGGAGGTCTCGTAACATGGCGTGTCTCTTTGAGTAGGTACAGCATTGATTTATACAACACTAGATCAGTAATAACCGCGCCAAAGCGTTGTCACTGCGCATATGGCCACAGCCATATGCCTAGCTAACGTGAGTTCATTGTTCAATGTGACGCCGACTGAGTTGAGCCGCGACAAAAATGGGTAAATGCGTAGTGAAAGAACGCTATTCAAGGTCACAAAAATGTAATAAATCAAGCGGAATCACTTTCAACACATAATTTTTAATTCTTGTTTTCATATAAACGTAAAAAACCTCAAATAATTAAATAAAATTATAGAATATTGCCATTTAGGGTCAATGTTGCCACTTTTCCGCATTTGTGATTATCCTACATTAATGGGAGACTATATAATTAATGGATTAAGTTAATTTGTTACCTCTGATTTTAAATATTTTAGAAATTATAATAAAAACTACGTTTTAACTTTCATACAAAATAATTAATTATTCTTATTTTACTTAATTCATAAATTATCTATTAAATATATTTTATTACCTATTTTATATTAATAATTTTATATTAATAATTTTATATTATTTATAATTTCATATAAATTTTATATTAATTATATTTTATTACCTATTTTATATTGTTTGATTTATTAGTACCATAAAAATATGTTTTATTTCATCATTATGTTTACTTCTATTCATCTGATAAGCTTTGTATCCTTTTTCTCTAAGGGGACGTAAAAGACTTTAAAATAAAATATAATTTTTTAATATAAAAAAATTATGTGCAGCTTTAAAAAAAAACTCATTTTTATTGCGTATTTTAGGTAAAATTTCATATAGTAAGCCACACCAACCCGCCATTGCATGTTTGTGTGTCTATCTTTATCTAATCTTAGCGACGATATTGTTTCCGCAACTTGTGTAAGTGAGATAGATATGTGTTTACTTAAAATTGTTATTAGTTTCAAAGCTACGTCGTCGCGTTTGGATAGTGGTTACACTTTTTTCGACGCGCGGTAATGTGGTTTGCTCCTCTAGTGTTGTATAACTCAATGAGGTACAGAATATAAATTATATGTATATGTACATATAATCATAAATTTTATTGCTACTTTGCCTTGTCTTCCCCCATAGAGCCAAATATTTTATGTATAAGAATAGGTGTAGTGTATGTACTACACACCATTTATATTGATATTTATACAGTATGTGTGTGTTAACTGTGTTCGTTAGCACTACTCTTTAGCCCACTGGCTATCTATATGTTCTAACTACGCGTAATTCGAGGTTCACACACCGAATCGTCAGTGAAGTCACAAGGTTCCAGCTGAAAACCAGCGCTGCCTCTGCAGCATCATGCTGAGTTGGAGACCTATTTGATGTCACATTTTATCTTTAAATTCTTTGTTTAATTTTTTGTTAGTTTTTTTTTGTTTCATTATTAATTAACATCATGCATTTTCTGCTTATTAAATAATTTTTATTGCGTAAGCAGTCTTACACCTGCGCATGCATATTCTTTGCCTCTTGTAATTTATATTTAAATTTCTTAAATTGTGTGTAAAGTGTAATTATTAAATAAATGGTTCTTTCGTTCTTTCTTTCAAAAAAATTTGCTCACGCTGACTGGACTGTATATAATAGAGGTGTGTATATTTGTCAAAAAAATCTATGTTTATTTTATAGCGCACGCGACAATTCTATTATAGGTAAAAGGGACCCAACTAGATTGTAATGCCTGCCTGCAGGACAGCTTTGTTCCGTAAAAATTGTTACATAATGTGTATAAAAGTTTTTAATAAGATAGGTACCTAAAGCTATTAGAGAGTTACCAACAAAAACTCATCTAAAAATGGCTCATTCAGCAATCCTTTTACACAATGAAAGACATATAGCACATAAGTAGGCGATACTTTTAAGAGTTTGACACAATGTTTGAATTATGGTATTTTTTATAATTGAAAATTTTATTTATTTAATTAATAAATTAGATATAAATATTGAAATAAATTAATGACAACTCCGTATGTAACATTTATAACTGACTTAAGAACACTACATATGAGACATAAGAACACTATATACATTATTGACATTGAGCTATAATAATACTTAGGTAGGTATACATCTTATTGGCATTTTTTTTCTGACACTGTTACTTAATTACTTAATTAATTATCAAATCGACTAAGTAATGTTTAAAATTTTTGTATTGTTAAAAATTCGATAAGTACCTATTGTATAAGTTATTTGACCATAAATATTTGCACACCACTGAGGTACCTAGTATATGTAGAAAATACACGAACACCATTGTACAACAATATTCTTGCAAATAAAGATTATTATTATTGTTTGGGGTAAGTATCTATATAGTTTCTCATCTGGTTGGGTTCTATAAATATATAATAATAAATTAAAATAAAAAGATAAATACCTATACATAAATATCAATAAAATAAAATAAATACAAAAAATACATAAATAAATAAAGATCCAACCAGATGGAAGCCCTCAGCAGGGTAGACCAAACGGCCGAGGGTTAGGAGGAAAGGAAAGGAAACTGGCGAACGATGCGAGCGGTATCGAGGTGC